CTGTAAAGTGGGGAATGCAAGGGTTTCTTTCTGTCCCTCTCTCTCTCTCTCTCTCTTAAGTTTTTTCTTTTTTGAAAATTGACTAATTGCCAGTTCTTTGGCTTGTTATCAGCTGTGTCTGCCACGCCAAATGACTCATTGGCATTTTTTTTTATTGTTATTTATTTTTTTTTTAGTTATTTCAAGGCACAGCAATAAATAAATTCTTGCTGCTTAACGCTCATGACTCGCACTCGAAGCTAAAGTTCAAATCCCCCTCCATATGTTGGATCTATCTCGTACTCGTACTAGGTGCGCTTACTTTTCTTCATTTGCCGTTTGTAGCTTTTGCTTTTCGTATTGTTTATTATCATAATTGAAATTTTGTTGTTGTTATTTGAATTGTTGCTGCTTTTGCACAATTTCTTGACTCGGGCGGCAGCGCTAAACGTCATGTGGTAGGTCTGAAAACGCTATGCCATTGTTATACCCTTACCACACTTAAGATATTCACGCTCGACTATGAATTGTGTAACACATGGAAACATATCTGAGACAACGCATAAGGTTAAGATTGGCTGGAATAGAATATACAAATATATTTTATATAATAAGAATTGAAAATTTACAGCTGAGTTTGAACCGGCAACTTCTCGCTTCTCACTCTCAATATCCGTAGACTTTAAATTTCAAAAAGAAAGAAACTTAAAAATGGTGTATTTATAGCTGGGTTTGAACCGGCAACTTCTCGCTTCACAGTCTCAATATCTTTAGACTTTAAATTTGAAAAAGAAAGAAACGTTAAAGTTGAACATTTACAACTGGATTCGAACCGGCAACCTCTCGCTTCACAGAAAGAAACTTAACAATTGAAAGTTTACAACTGGATTCGAACCGGCAACCTCTCGCTTGTCATTCTTGTGCACCCTGCGCAGGGTATACTTAGTTCGTCGATGCCCAACGTTCTGTTCTTATAGGTTGCTGCAAATGTATCTGTATCTGTATCTATATCTATGTGCGTATCTATGTACAGATATAGGATCTGTAGCTGTATCTGTATCTTTAAATGTATCTGTTGGCTATGCATAATATTTCGCTACAATTTTGTTGTTATATTTTGCCGCAACGCAGCGACGAGTTTTCTTGTTTTTTTTTTTCGTTTTGTTTTGTTTCGCGTTTGTGTTTTTTTACGCTGAGTGCGCAAAATGCGCAAAAAACAAGTTTTGCACTTTGTGGCGAAAAAAAACAACACTGAAATACAATACACACATAACTAAGCTAAGCTTTATCTCAGTGTGTGTGTGTGTATTGGCATTGTGTGTTTGTTTTAATTTTGTATCCACTTGTGCCTAGCACGAAAGATGTGGCGCTGATTTGGAAAACCCGACAGCTGTTTGACGCTTTTTGCTTTCGGCAAACTCTTGACTCCTCCACAACCCGCCCGGCCTTTTCCCGAGAGAAAGAGCGAGAGAGAGGGAGAGAGAGAAGGGGGGACATTGTGAATTAGTGAACGGCAGCTTTAGCTTTCGCATATTGTTGGATGCATTGAACCACACACACAGCTGTTGACGATTGTTGCAATTGCCTTTGCATTTCGGGACAGGGCTAAGCCCCACAGAGAGTGGGTCGCTGGCTCTGACAGATGATGACACAGTTTGTTGTGTGTGCTGCGACTTGACTCAATTCTCTGGTCTTCGGCCGCCCAATTAGCATCATTTTGTGTAGAAACTTAAAAGTGCTGTGTACTTTTCAAGACCCCTGGCTCTTGTTGCCTCACTTGCGTCGTTTCTTTTAATTAGCACATTAAGCAAACAAGTCGGAACTTGTCAGCCAATGCTGCTGGATCAAGTCATACCCTGTGGTGATCCCTGCTAAGCCAGGGGCAGAGCCAGCGACGATCAGAAATGTGGCAGACTCTCATATGCAATCAGGCAGAGATACCTAAGATCAGCTGTAGAAAAAAACAAATATATATGTATAGAATATTCGTAGCTGGAAACTCGATTTATGACATCAGCCTTATTTAATGCTTTCTGGAAGGTTTTTTTTTATTCATTTTTAAGAGAAACACCGAAGTTGGCAGCATTTCTGAGTTTTATAATTGTAAAATGGATTCTGTGCATGCAAAATTTTAAAGCCAAACTTGAAATCAGGTCTATGCTTTGAGTTTAACAAGTCAAACTATATTTCCTTAGATAACTTTACCTTTTTGTCGAAAAACCGACGCTTACTAACACTCTACCTACGTAGCAAACGCTTACCAACACTCTTTAACTACAATGCTTGAACGTCATACTCGGAATATGGTCTATGAATTGTATTCTTATAGCAGATAATTATTTTTACTTGATGAAAAGCTGGCGCTAAACAATACTGTTTGATTACTTTGCTTGATAACTATATCAGCTTGAAGAAAACGTTTGTCAACACTAAAATGTGTTCTTAAGTAACTTCTATGAAATTGAATTGATTGGCTTGAAATTTGAGTTATATATTTATAGCAAACCTAGGTTTATGTATACCAAATATGATGCTTTCAAGTTATAAACTGTTTATTTGCTTCTAGCTTCAAATGTTCATAAGTTTTAATGGGATCTAGGATAGGAAGATTGACTCTTCTATTGCTGCTAGAATATATATGGATATATACATATCTTATATAAATGACAATATGACTTAGTACAAAGTGTAAAATCAAACTGCCATTCGCTGGTTTTGTTTTTTGTTGTTTTTTTCTTTTGCCAGCTACTCTCGCTGTCGACCCAAAGCAATTCAAATGCTTGTTGTAAGCGGATGGGCGTGGCATTGGACCTGGACCTGAACCGGGTGTGTGTGACTGTGAGTGCGAGTGTGTGAGTGTGTGAGGGGGGCAACTTTCACTTTTCACTCGGGTTACAAAAATAGCTGTGGCCACATTGCGGCACATGGCTGCGGCTAACGAATTGCGTGTGCGTGCCTCGAGACCAACAATTGGACACTCCACACACAAAGATGGCAACAAACTGACAACGGCCACTTGGACACCAGGCATCAGACTGAGTGTCAGTTGCATTTGATCTCAGGCCCGGTTTCCGTTGCGCTTCACAAATCAATTGACATCGAACGGAAGTGCCTGCAATATCGAAAATCGTCTCTGCATATCCCAATCCACTTGAAAGCCAGCGTTAATTGCGACAGAGAGAGAGAGAGAGAGAGAGAAAGAGCGCGAGAAGAAAAGAGTTTTCCATCACAAAGTGCAGTCTTTAATTGAATCACTTTTGCACACAGCTGCTGCCCCAGTTGCCCCCAGTTGAGTCTCAGCGGCGACTCGGACCCGCAGTAATTTGCAGAACTTGTCGCAGCGGACATAAATTGCAATTGAGTTGTAAATTGCATTAGACCCTAACAAGGGCAAAAAGACAATGCCCTATGCTAGCATGACACTAGCTGAAAGCATTAAATTGACTTATCGATTCGGCTGTAGCAGAAGTTAGAGAATAGATCGTTTAATCAAGGCAAATCGTTTTCAAGTTGGTAGAGGCAAGAGAATATACATAAGGGAGGAGGTGTAAGATGGCTAAATAATACAAGCTTAAAAGCACATCTAACTAACTAAATAATGTTAAGTTAAACCATATAATCAATGTTGGTAAAATTGTAGTTACTGCAACGGCAAATAGATACTGAGTGCAGGAAACAGAATTGGATAGTTTTTCTAAATGAATACGAGTTGAAAATAATTCAGTGCTGTATAGCGAAAGCAGTGGAAATTATAAATTGGAATGACATTTGCTGTAAAATTTAGTGTTGCATAGGAGAGAATGAAAAAGGCAGTGTTGAAAAGCGGTATACTACATTTAATATCTAAGAAAATAGTAGATGGATCGTATAGTATAGTATAGTGGATAGTAGATTAATCTAAGAAAATCAGTGTTGCAAAGGGCTGTACGAAAATAATAGACTTGAAAGGCGATATACGAAAATTGATATTAAGTAAATAAGTAGATGGCCAAGGAAATTCATATCGCTAACAAGGCCCAACGTTTCTTTATATTAATTTGTTTTCTCGAGAACGCTCACAAATAGACTCTCTTTTTCGCTTTGTGAACAGAGTATTTGGCATCTTCAGCTCGTGTCATTTAGAACCATGCAATGTCGATCGAAGCTCTCGCTTTTCGCTGCAGCCCCCCCTCCCCCTCCCCTTCTAACGCCCGCTCCAGCCAACTCGTCGCGTCTCGTCTCGTCTCGTCTCGCTTACCATAACGAATTGGCTCTGTGAGCCACTGAAGCGTTCATGTGAAACGTCCAGTTTCTTCATAATATATATATATATGTACATATGCATATATGAGCTTCTGTGTGTGTGTGTGTTTGTTTTTTTGTTGCTGTGCCCATTTCGTTTGGGAAAATTCGTGAAAAACTGAAATTAGCTTTAAGCGTTAGCGAGGCAAATTTTTGCTGTTGCCGGTTTTCGCTTTGAGTTTCATTTTGTGGCCGGTTTCAGTTTTCATGTTTTGCCGCTTCATCGCCTTCTTCTTCTTCTTTTTCTGGTCATAAATTCGCCTCCGCTTTGGCCAGTTGCTCCAATTGCAGCGCTTACCCCAAGGCCGGGCCAATTAATTTGTGCAATTATCTGAAATTGAATATCCATTTAGCGGGTCATTCTGACCTGTTTGCTCAAGTATCGGCCATAAAACCCGAATTATGCTTGCCACTTGTTTTGGCCATCTTTCTAAACGACTTTCTACACTTGGCGAAAAGTGTGAAAGATCTAACGCTTGGTTTTCCAACTTCGAGTAGACTTTGCTCTAAAATCCACTCGCAGCTTTTGTAAGAACTATAACTGTTCGAAAAATTAATTAAAAATATTAGAAAAATTAATTTAACAAGAAAATTATGCTTGGTCTAAGTAAAATATGTTTATTACGAGCATTTGCCTGCTTGAAATAAGTAAAATTTGCTTTGTGCAAAACAAATTTGAAACAAATTATAAAATAATAAATATAAAATATATATTGAAGAATTTTGTTGATTTTTTGCAGACGTGGTCTGACGCCACCGCATCGAGTGAAATCCATATCGATGGCCACATTCACACAGGAGGAGCTGGACTTTCTGAAGGCGCACGGTAACGAGCTGTGCGCAAAGACCTGGCTGGGCCTGTGGGATCCGAAGCGTGCCGCCGCCCAGCAGCAGGATCAGCGCGAGCTGATGATCGATAAGTACGAAAGGAAACGCTACTATCTGGAGCCAGCCAGTCCGCTCAAGTCGCTCAATCTGAAGTCGGCGTCGTCGTCGACATCAACGTCAACATCGACATCGTCCAGCAATGGCTATCATCACAATACGGGCAACATATCGAGCAATGGCTATGCCACCATCCATTTGACACCGCCCGCCGCCCAGCGCACAGCTGCCAATGGCCTGTCTAAGAACGGAGCATCCACAACGGCCATCAGCCGGCCGCAGCATCATCACCATCATCATCATCAGAATCACAATCACAATCAACTGAATGGCAATCATGACGGCTTCTCCAATAATCTGTCTGGCATTGGCCTGGGCCTGACCAGCCTGAACAGCGCCGGCTCCACATCCACGGGCGCCCTGTCCGATACGAGCAGCTGCGCCAGCAATGGCTTTGCCGGCGAAACAGATTTCGTTGCCGATTTCGGCACGGCGAACATATTTGATGCCACCTCGGCGGCGCGTTCCACAGGCTCACCGGCTGTCTCCACGGCCAGTTCGGTTAGCTCCACCAACGGCTATGCCAAGGTGCAGCCCATCCGAGCGGCGCATCTCCAACAGCAACAGCAGCAGCAGCAGCAGCAGCATCATCAGCTCAATGGCAATGGAACGGAGAACTTTGCGGATTTCGAGCATGCGCCCATTTACAATGCAGTCGCTGATGGTAAGTTCTTTCAATATTTTCTTTTTCTGTTCCTGTTGGTCAGCCCTGGCAGAGCGTGGTAATAAATGTGGGTTCCTTTCTTTAAGCGAGCTTAATTGATATATAGTCTAGTCCGTCTGTCTGCAACTTTGCTAACTCAGACTTCACTAAAGCTAGTTGATAGAAATTTTGTACAGCTGCTCCTTTTTGCTATAGATTCTACCTAAATCGGAAGGGAATGCATTGGCTAAGGGAATTAGAAAAAGCATTTCAAATATATATGAGACTTGCTGACTTGCATCTTGTTTTATTCTCTGTTCTGTTTAAAGTTTTAAACATATATTATTAAAAATATAGTATACTTGAATTTTTCATATTTCTGCTGTGTTTCCACAGTTTTAATGTATATTTTTTTTAATAATAATGATCATTTTTTAATTGATGATGCTCAATATCGTCCAATTATGCTATATAGTCTACACAGTAATAAACGATCCTTGGCTTCGATCGTTTCTGCGCTAGGTTGAAAAACTATAGAAAACCTATTTTTGACGAGCTTTTAAAGCTTCCTACTTCAAACTTTGGATTTAAAGTTGATGTCTGAGCAGGTTTCTAGAGAATTGTCCAGCTATAAACAGGCTGAGGCTAACTCGGAGATAGATTGATTTCTATAGAGCATTAGGCGGTTCATATGTCGGATGAGATCCCTATATCATATAGCTGCCATAGGAATAATCGGCAGAAAAGTCGGTTCGTGTAAGGAAAACTTTTTTACTTCTTAAGATACCTTAACCAATTTTAACGATGCTTTTTATATATGTGCCAAGTCTATATTATATAGATTTATAGAAAGAATTGGTCGAGAAAAAGGATGTTGTTTTATATGGAAAAGTATTCTGTTTTCCATGAAATTTTCACCAGCATGTGCGAGCTTCGCTATTCTCACATATCTGTAAAAAGCAAATATCTAGAAGTGTATTAAATCTTGGGCGTGCCGAACAAATTCTCACTTTCTCCTTTTTAAATATCAATAATTTGTCAAAGCTCTGCAAGGGAATTATTTTCTCAAATTTTCTAGTTTGTTTTTAGTTTTTTTATTATTTACAATTCTTGCATCACACGCGCAACACACACACACACACGCGCCACACAAGATGATTTCTCACCTGTTTTGCTGCTGCTTCTTCTTCTGCTGCTGCACGTGGTCACAAACCGAATGCCAGTTTCTGGCTGCTTTTGGCAATTGCGTAGAGCATTTTCTCACATAGATCGCATTTCGCTTAACAACTCCAGCTTGTTTGGCCTTGTGAAAGAACATTTATCGTTAATCTATGTACTCTCTCCTCCTGATCTCGCTGTGCCCTATTCTTATGTGCTGCTCCTGTCAATCGTTTGTCCCAGCGCTGAGCACGTGCCCGTCGAAGGCATCGCTGCCAGATTGGAGCGATTGGAGCACGCCCGACCCGACAACAGATCCCTTCGAGAATGAATTTGCAACGCTGCGCTCGGCAACAGAAACCAGCTCGGAGCCGGAGCTGCCCGCCTACTCCATGCTGACGCTCTGGAGCGACGAGTGCTGGCCAGAGAAGCCGCCTGCCATACACTATGACAGCTCGGCGACCTCGCTGGAGTCGGCCAAGTGTCCAGACTCCGGCGAAGATGCCAGCCGAACGCCCACAAATCCATTTCTGACCCAGCTGAAGCAGCCGGAGACAGCGTTCAGTCGGGCCTTGAGCGCGCTCCACAGCTCCGCAGAGGAGACAGAAACAGCGACAAGAACAACAACAACAGCAACAAATGCGACGGTCGAGCATAATGAGTGCGACTCAAATTCGAATATTTTAAATGCCTATTACAATCCTTTCTTTACGTGGAGTAAGTTTTACGCTGACTTTTTATGCCCTGAACCCATTCAGATGCAGATGAAGCCCTTGCAGGCAGAGCGAAGAATTCACCATTAAGATATATATATTCTCGATCTGAAAGAAGACGATTTAATTTCTGTCTGGCCGTCTGCGTAGCTGAGGCTTGGATCTTGGAGAACACAAAAGCCAATTCTGCCATTTTCATAATATCGATAAATATCGATTTTGAGATTTGGTTATCTCCCAAACTTTATGCAGGAGTTTTTAATACCTTAACGCTAACTTCTGCCATTTTCATAATATCGATAAATATCGATTTTGAGATTTAGTTATTTAAGCATAACCTGAAATCTATAAAAGCTAGACACTTGAAATTGTGAATATATTCTCCCAAACTTAATGCAAAAGGAGCTTTTAATACTTTAACGCAAACTCCTGCCATTTTCATTATATCGATAAATACCGATTTTGAGATTTGGTTATTTAAACATAACTCGAAAGCTATAAAAGCTAGCTACTCGAAACTTGGTATAAAGATTCTTGTAAAATATAAACAGCTTAATATTATTTCCCTTTTTGGAAAGCTTGCTCCATTTCCTTCCAGTTATGGAAAAAAAGCTTTATTGTTAGAGCCTTGCGATTTTGGCGTACGACAGCAACATCAGAAGGTAGCGCTGGGTTCAGGGTATCTGCTGGTCGGGCACTTCCGACTAGTGCACACTAATTTGTTTGATTTCCATTTAGTTGAGTTGTGTTTGTAGTTTTGGCTTGTTGTTGTTGTTGTTGTTGTTGCTTGTATTATGTGCTGTTGGGCTGCCTTTTGAGTTCCTACTTTAATATAGAAATAAAGTTTGCGTATTTGCTGCTGGCATTCGACTAATCCCTTCTAATTATAACCCTTTGCAGGCGCCGCCTTGCAGAGCCATCAACAGCTGAGCCAAACGACAAATAAGCAGAGCCCACGGCAGGCAGGCGCTGCGCCCAGCGAGGATCGCTATGCGGCGCTCAAGGACCTCGACGAGCAGCTGCGCGAACTGAAGGCCACCGAAACGGAGGCGCCGACGCCAACCAGTGGCAACCTCACACAGCTGACGGATGCCTTTGGCACGGGTAAGACTGCCAGACCTTAACCAAAAACCGCAACTAAAACATTTAACAATCCACAGCCAACAACAACAACAGCAGCAACAACAATAACATCCTACATGCCAATCCCTTCAAGAGCCAGCAGTCGGCGCTGCTCATCAACGGCAACAGCAGCCACTTGGTGAATCCATTCCAGGCACAGCAACTGCAGCAGCAGCAGCAGCAGAATCTCTATGGCCAGCTGGCGCTCATACCAAATGGCTACGGCAGCAGTCCACAGCAGGCTGCGGCTGCGGCTGCGGCGGCGGCAGCGGCAGCAGCAGCGGCTGCAGGTCAACAGCTGCTGCAGCAGCAACAGCAGCAGCAGATGACAGCCAACAGTTTCTATAATTTCAATAACAACGGCTTTGCCCTGGCCCAGGGTCTGCCCAATGGCTGTGGCTTTGGCAGCATGCAGCCAGCGCCCGTGCTCGCCGGCGGCATATCCGGCGGCTTTAATAATCCATTTGCGGTAGGCATTGTGCTCAGCTTTGTATGCCCTGTACCCGTATTCAAACAGGGTATATATGCCCGTTGTGCAAATGTATATGATAGGCGTAATAGTTGTTATAGGCTAGAAATGGCTATTTCTTTAAAGAACGATAAATATCGATCGATTTTGAGCGGTCGTTTATCAGTAGAATAAAAAATGGATATACCTAGTTTGCAAAAATAAACTGGCGCTGGGTACAGGGTAGCTAGCATTCGAGCATTCTAGACCAGCGCACGCTTGCTTAACTTTTAATATATTTATATTAATGTATTTATTCATTTAACTCGACAGGCCAGCGGCGCTATGAACACCAATAATCCATTTTTATGAGATTCAGAATCGTGTGGAGCACAGGACCAAAAGCGGGACCGGGAGCGGGAGCGGGAGCGGGCACAGAAGGAGCACCAGCCGCAGCAACAGGGCCAACAGCAGCAGCAGGAGCTCACATCATGGCTGAGGCGTTGAAGCTGAACAGAGAAAAGCCGCTGAACAAAAATATTTAAAGCAAAAAAATGAAGCAAAAAGTGAAACGAAATTAGTCCATTTTACGAACAATAGCTATAAAACTATAAAATATACATAAATGTGTATATACATAGGCATATGCATATGTGTGTGTGTATATATAGTATATATATATATATATAGATAACGTAGTCTGTGCTACATGCTGAATTGGTATCCATTTGAACGGATCGTGCAATATATATATACCCCTGTATATGTATATATATATATTCTTTTACAAAAGCTCTAACTCTCATATACATATTTATACCGCAAAAGCACACATACATATGCACACACAGATATATATATAGTATATATATATATATATATAAATTTATATAAATATACGTTTTGCGTGTAACTAAAGATTTGTAATTAGCGTTTGCCTTCAGCATCTGTAGACTTTTTACTAAACTTAACTTTCTCGTGTGTTTAGCTTAACTTAAACTAAATGCATATACACATGCACATGCATACACATACATGCATACTATATATATATATGTGTGATATATATATATGCATTATATATATTTATAATAATTACTAAAAACAAGTATCTGTAAGCTCTTATTGGTAGCGCAGAGCCCATCCTCAGCCGATGCGGGCTTAGTTTGTGTTTCGTTTAAATTTGATTTGATTGTTTGTTTTCTCCCTGAAACTTGTCGAACATTGTATACCCTATCGTTAGCATTGTCATCGTATACTTGTTGTCAGCTCTCTGCCCTATTTCTTTGGGGTTTCCTTTCAACTCGCTTGTTTCACTCTACGAAACTCTTGTCAGTTCTTGATTGTGTGGCCTTAATAAGATTATAAAACTGTTCATTAAAACTAACTATCATATAATATACTTACCTTATATGATATACATATATATATATATATATCTACATATACGAGTACATGTAATACATATATGCTTTTGTACCTAAATTAAATGCTTCTTGTTTTAATAATTGTTAATCAACTATGATAAATAAACCACAACCAACCAACACACACACACACTTAGAAGGGTTAGTTTGCTCAACACAAGAAGTTAAAGTTTGTTAAATGCGATAATAAAAAAATTATATATATCTCTTTATATACTTATCAACAAGTATATATATGTTATGATATAGCGCGACATCATTGCTGAAAAAAGAAAGAAACAAAACAATATCGGGATTGTTTGAATAATACGAGTCCAAATAAGAAGCAAGTTGAATTTTTCCATATTAAGCCTTAGCGTATGTCAAACATTATCTCGAAGCCTTAAAACAAATTATTTAAATTTACAACTTTCAATAAAAACTAAGAAAAACAAAAAAATTGTAATGTTGCATTCATATTTGGCTTTTGTGCTAGTTGAGGAATTCAAAACGGAATGTCAGCCCCATTTTCACTTATCATGGTTCTCAGATGATGCAAATATCCTTGGTATTACCATACCATTGATAGAATCCTGGTGAACCTAAATATCTGAATGCATGCTAAATTCGCTCGGAAATGTGTTAGAAACGTGAATAATGTACTGTGAGTGTACTGTTAAACATATGTTAATTAACATCCCATGTTAACAGTTAACAGCTGCTGCTAAGAGGGGCACGTGAGATTTTAACGAAAATTTGGTAAAAATACCAGGCGAACAGCAATGCCAGCAGGTAGCCAAACGTCCGCGACACCAGAACAAAATTAGTTTGTGCGACGGCGCGCCATTGGTCAAGCGGAAATCCATTATGGCTGCTCGGCGAAATAAGTAACTGTAACTATCCTTTTGCTTTGATTCCTCTATGCATATTCGTCAATATATAGTGATGCGCAAGCACGCAAGTGGTGCGCCGGATTTGGCTGAATAATGCAGTATCCGCTAAAACTAGCCATTTATTTTAAGGAATGCCGACACGCTTAGTAAATTGTGTCTGATCTTGGGCAGATGATATTTTTGGACTCGTAAGAGTATTTTAATTTGATTAAATATTGTCAAATTTTAATTTTGCAATATTTATTGTCAATCGGACATGTGATCCACAGGTGTCAAGTAAACTATATATTTTCTCGATCGGCGTATATTAATTTTATATTTAGCTTTATTTGGCATGCATTTAATTTCTTTTATGTCCTACTTAAGATAAAAGCTATATACATATATAAGTCATACGCTTCCAAACTCCGTCCTGTGCCTAACAGATCGAATAATCCAGGGGTTATCTTGGCAGCATACGAGATATCAAACCGATTTCACATCTCACTTAAATGCGGTTACATGGTTGCAATTAATATTTAAATTTAACGGTCGCCAAATTCCATTCGGCATGTCGGCTGTGTCACAAAACTTCAACCAAATTCAACTGAATTACCAGGCGAACAGAAATGCCAGCAGGTAGCCAAAAGTCCGATACACCAGAACAAAATTAGTTTGTGCGCCGGCGCGCCATTGGTCAAGCGGAAATCCATTATGGCTGCTCGGCGAAATAAGTAACTGTAACTATCCTTTTGCTTTGATTCCTCTATGCATATTCGTCAATATATAGTGATGCGCAAGCACGCAAGTGATGCGCCGGATTTGGCTGAATAATCCGCTAAAACTAGCCATTTATTTTAAAGAATGCCGACAAGTTTAGTAAATTGTGTCTGATCTTTGGGAGATGATATTTTTGGACTCGTGAGAGTATATTAATGTGATTAAATATTGTCAAATTTTAATTTTGCAATTTTTATTGTCAATCGGACATGTGATCCGCAGGTGTCGAGTAAACTATATATTTTCTCGATCGGCGTAAATTAATTTTATATTTAGCTTTATTTGGCATGCATTTAATATCTTTTATGTCCTACTTAAGATAAAAGCTATATACATATATAAGTCATACGCTTCCAAACTCCGTCCTGTGCCTAACAGATCGAATAATCCAGGGGTTATCTTGGCAGCATACGGGATATCAAACCGATTTCACATCTAACTCAAATGCGGTTGCATGGTTGCAATTAATATTTAAATTTAACGGTCGCCAAATTTCATTCGGCGTGTCGGCTGTGTCACAAAATTGGGAGCAAATTCAGCTGAATTACCAGGCGAACAGAAATGCCAGCAGGTAGCCAAAAATCGGAGACACCAGAATAAAACAGATTGTGCGCCGGCGCCCCATTGGTCATATATATGTATAATGCAAAGCCAAAAGGCATGATGGCTGCTCGGCAAAATAACTGTAACTATCCTTTTGTTTTGATTCCTATGCACATTCGTCAATACATATCTAATAGTGATGCCAAGACCCACGAGTGATGCTTCGGATTTGGCTGAAAACCACTATATCCGCCAAAACTAGCTATTTAATTTTATAAATGGCTACTAATTTAAATACTTTCACGATTCCAAAAAAATCATCTGCTGAATCAGATTTGAAGATCGGACTCTATTTAATAAATTTCCAAACATCCATCAAAATAAGAGACTAGTTTTGGCGGAAATTGCATTATTCAGCTAAATTCGGCTCATCACTTGCATGTCTGCGCATCACTATTAGGCAATGCTTCAATTATATGTATTGCCGAATGTGAATTAGAAACCAAAACAAAAGGATAGGTACAGTTACTTATTTCGCCGAGCAGCCATCATGGATTTTCGCTTGACCAATGGCGCGCCGGCGCACAAACTAATTTTGTTTTGGTGTCTCGGACTTTTGGCTACCTGCTGGCATTGCTGTTCGCCTGGTAATTCAGCTGAATTTGGTCGAAATTTTGTGACACAGCCGACATGCCGAATGAAATTTGGCGACCGTTAAATTTAAATATTAAATACGCTGCCCTGGATCATTCGATCTGTTAGGCAAAGGACGGAGTTTGCAAACGTATGTCGCATATGTATGTATATGCATGCCAAATAAAGCTAAATATAAAATATATATACGCCGTTCGAGTAGTATTTAGTTTACTTGACACCTGTGGATCACATGTCCGGTTGACAATAAAAATTGCAAAATTATAATTTGACAATATTTAGTCACATTAATATACTCTCACGAGTCCAAAAATATCATCTCCCCAAGATCAGACACAATTTACTAAACTTGTCGGCATTCTTTAAAATAAATGGCTAGTTTTAGCGGATTATTCAGCCAAATCCGGCGCATCACTTGCGTGCTTGCGCATCACTATTTATTGACGAATATGCATAGAGGAATCAAAGCAAAAGGATAGTTACAGTTACTTATTTCGCCGAGCAGCCATAATGGATTTCCGCTTGACCAATGGCGCGCCGGCGCACAAACTAATTTTGTTCTGGTGTATCGGACTTTTGGCTACCTGCTGGCATTTCTGTTCGCCTGGTAATTCAGTTGAATTTGGTTGAAGTTTTGTGACACAGCCGACATGCCGAATGGAATTTGGCGACCGTTAAATTTAAATATTAATTGCAACCATGTAACCGCATTTAAGTGAGATGTGAAATCGGTTTGATATCTCGTATGCTGCCAAGATAACCCCTGGATTATTCGATCTGTTAGGCACAGGACAGAGTTTGTAAGCGTATGTATATATGTATATAGCTTTTATCTTAAGTAGGACATAAAAGAAATAAAATGCATGCCAAATAAAGCTAAATATAAAATTAATATACGCCGATCGAGAAAATATATAGTTTACTCGACACCTGCGGATCACATGTCCGATTGACAATAAGAATTGCGAAATTAAAATTTGACAATATTTAATCACATTAATATAGTCTCACAAGTCAAAAAAAAACATCTGCCCAAGATCAGACTCAATTAATTAAACTTTCCGGCATTCTTTAAAATAAATGGCTCGTTTTAGCGGATACTGCATTATTCAGCCAAATCCGGCGCATCACTTGCGTGCTTGCGCATCACTATATATTGACGAATATGCATAGAGGAATCAAAGCAAAAGGATAGTTACAGTTACTTATTTCGCCGAGCAGCCATAATGGATTTCCGCTTGACCAATGGCGCGCCGGCGCACAAACTAATTTTTTTTTGGTGTCGCGGACGTTTGGCTACCTGCTGGCATTTCTGTTCGCCTGGTAATTCAGCTGAATTTGGTCGAAATTTTGAGACACAGCCGACATGCCGAATGAAATTTGGCGACCGTTAAAAATTTAAATGTTAATTGCAACCATGCAACCGCATATGCATGGGTGAGATGTAAAATCTCCTTGATGTCTCGTTAACTGCCAAGATAACTGTGGATCATTCGATTTGAAGGACACTGGACTTCTCGGAGTTTGCAAGCGCATGGCATAGATATATGTTGCTACTTTGTTATTAATATTTTCATTCTCTTTATTGATTTAATTGCATTTAAAAAAATGCAAATTCGAAATCAGCCAAATTTAATTTAAATATATACCAAAGGCAGTCGATCGTCGGGATCAGTACAAGTTGAAAGAGGTATTAACCCCATCCCGGGAAGATTGGTGAAGTACACGTTTATTTAAAGTTTGAATATCTTGGGTCTATTATGACAGATATTGGGTTTTCGTCCTGTGCGGATGAGGAATTTCGCTTTAAGGGGAAGAACACAAAATTGCATTTAATTTATTTGATGTATTTTTATTCATTTCCGTTTCGGTATAATTTCTAGTTTGTTCTCTTTCGTTTTTAGTACTAGTTGTTGTGGTTTTTAGCAATTGTTGAAATTACTATAAATTATATAATCATTATATTTTTATGTATTTATATATATATATTTATATATTTTAAAAATTCGCATATGAAATAAAGTCGAAAGTCATTTAAACCCTATGGTTAAACCTGCCACGAACGAGCCAACCTTTTGGTCAACCACTCAGCGTTCCGTCCTATTATCAGATTGATATTCTCTTCTCTCTTCTCACTAATCTTAAGCTAAATCAAAAACAAATCAATACAAAATATTATTGCATAAAGGAAAAATAAAACGTCAAACAATGTGTAATAATTCAAAACAAAATTAAAGCTGGAATCGCGGCTTCTACTTTATAAATATAATAATGAACTAATAATAATAATTATAGGTGTAAGCTATAAATAGAAAGTATGTATATATATGAAAGTGTGCCCAGGTTGGGCATTGCATCATCAACTGTACATTATGGCTTATATGCGTATCATATATATATATATAGATATATATATTATTTATAATATATTAGAGGGGGAGGCTCCACTTAAGTATGTGTGTTTCGTACGATGTTGATTATGTTTATATTAATGCGGGGCTAGAACAGCTTTTCTTTAGTTATTTTTATTATTATTAATATTATTATGGGTATGCGTATGTTTATATAATTTAAGAAAAATAACAACAAAAAAATGACTGGCTGTGTGTGGAAGAAGAAGACAAGCAGCTTTATCTTGCCAATTATAATTTCTTTTTCTTGAATTTTGATTTCTATTTTTTTTCTTTGCTGTTTTTGCAAGCGTTCCGCCTACATATTTACATACTCGATTAGATATTGGTATGATTGGGTATACATATATATGTGGCTCAGGATTGCGAACTTTATAAATTGTTTACAAAGCAATTGCAGTGCACACACACATACACACACTCACACACACACACACGCACATGACAAAAACGCACTCACACACATAGAGCTAGACATATCTTAAGTCAGTTTTTTAAAAGCGCTTTGCTGTGTACACAATACTTGGCTACAATGTTTAAATATCGTATATTATGTATTTATACATATAGAGTATGTAAATGTAATGCATTTTGACATCTAGAATTAAGTGTGTGTTTTTTTTGAGTAAAAGAAGCCTTTGGTTCTTTCATTTTTATCTTTTACAAAAAAAAAGTAGGTAGCGACAAATGAAATTAAAGAACTGAATCGAAAGCTCGCCGAATTAAGCATTAATTAATTATTAATTTGTATATAATTTTTATAAAAGTACAAAAAGTCTGTCTATTACGCACTCGAACATGAATCGGCATCGAAATTAACCGATTTATATACATACTCTCTCTCTCTCATCTCTTTCTATATTCTTTTTCGATTTCTCTCGCGAAGCATACAAAACTGAGAAAACAATTTGGTCAACGCGCTATGCCATGTTTAGATACGTATGTACTCTATCATATCAAGTTGTATTTAAGTTTGTATTTAGTTATATTACGAGTAATATATTAAATTGATGACCTATAGATGATGGGTTTTGGGTTGTGTGGCATGGCCCATTTACGTGCCGTTGGCCTTTGGCAGCGACCGCACCAGATACAGTTTCTCGCCCTGCTTGTTCGTATAGATGGGCGCTCTTTGGTAGTGTTCGACCAGCTGGTCCAGTGAATGGAACTTTCGCTGTCCAATGCAGTACATATTCTGCTCCACGTGCACACGGAAGTGCTTGTTGCGGCCGGGCGCCTTCAGGGAAACCGAGTAATCACCCATCTGAAAGAAAAAGAGTATGAATAAGCTGGTAATTGGTGAAAGGGATTTCTATAAAGATGGGCAATACCAGAATAACCATGACGATAGCTTAAGGACTGAGATTAGTTCGCTTGGCAACAGTCAGACGGGGTCGGAGATATCTTCTTTCAGTCTATACTATGTTTACTTTATATTAATACATCCACGGTAGACGTGGCAAATCATTAAAATCTACATATTTCTATGTCTATATGTTGGGCTCCTCTAAGGAGTCCATCCGAATGCAAAAAAGATACCTTCTTCTTTTGGTCTAGTACATTTTTATGATAAGAATTTCCATATTATAAAATAATAAAGTGCAAATTTCCTAGATTCCTTCGACATGATTCGCCAATGTGATTTGTCATTGGCTAATCCTGGAATTGCACCTAGATTCTCTACAGCTGGCACTCACATTAGTCTCACTGTCTCTGATGAGGAAATCACCATCGTGTCCATGGCCATTGAGAACCGTGTCGCATTGGCTGCGTGTGATGGCGCCATAGTACCAGGATTTGCCCGCCAAATTGGGTCGCTCGATGGGCTGACTTGGCTGCGTTTGTTTGTTATTGCAGTCGTTGCGGCGCTCCATGGAGTCGCCGCCGCCACCGCCGCCGGCACCGTTGCCGGTGGCATTGGCGCCATTGCTGCCGGTGGCATTGCCGTTGCCAGCATTGCCGCTGGTATTGCGATAGGGTGTGGCCAAGTAGTCGTTTAACTCTTGTAGATAATTGCGTGGAACTAAACCGACTTGACCCTGATTATTGCGTGCCTTATACCAGTCCGGATCGGAGGCGGGCCTGTCAACTATCTCAAGGCGATCGCCCTTCTCAAACGACAGCTCCTGGTCATTGTTCGACGTGAAGCTATAGAGCGCCACCTGCAAGCGAGATTGGAAGGATAGCTTAAGATAAGGTATACATTTATTTAATTTAGCTTCTGGAGACCCACCACAATGTCGAGCACATTCTCCGCCATGGCATAGGTGTGTATCTCGCCATCGTTATCACAATCTTCGGTTGTGTAATTGCTGGGAAACCAGCCAACCGAATTGCCGCTCTGGCCACGCCACCAGCCATCGTTCGACTTCTCCAGGATGAGTATGCGTGTGCCCTTGGTCAGGGAGAGCTCGTCCGGCTGTTGCGCCTGATAGTTGTATTTGACAATGGCGGTGCCAATGGCCTCGGCCGGATCGGGTGGCAAGCGCCGGGACATGGTTGGACTCTCGATTTGGCGTGAAGGCGAACAATTGGGCAGAGTCTTTGAGCCGGAACCCTTTTTCACCTTCTTCTTGATGCTACAAGAGATACGCAAGAGATGGATCATAAATATAGATTATAAATATTTCTACTATTGACATATTATTTTACTGGATGTAACAAAGGGGGTTTCTTTTCTTTTTTCAGCCCTACTTTCTGGGGCTAGCAGTGGAGGGAGGCAACCAGAGTGGGGCATCAAACAATTTGTGTGTGGTTGTGGTTCGTGCGGGGTTTTTGGGTGGGGAACAAATATGAAAGGCTTTCTACTCGAAATGAATACTAAAATACAACTAAAGCATTAAACGAATTTGTTTATACAATACAAAAGCCGAAAAGCAGTTGATAAAAACTAATTACAAGAAGAAAGCAAAAGAGTTGGAGTAGAAAACAAACTCGACATATTTTTCATTTTTTTGGTATCTTTTTTTCTGCTGAAATCGGAATAAAAAGAATACTTAAATTTTAGTGAGTTCTCATAGCTATATACACATTTGTTGTTTTGTTTTTTTGTTTTTTTGAGGTTTACTCGTTGGATGGGCTGAATGGAATTGCTCCGAATTGCAACCGAAACACGCACCTGTCGAAGAGCGAGGGCTTCTCCTTCTTCACATAGTTGCTGGGCACATAGCCGGATTGATTGCGACTGTTCTGGACGCGCCACCAATGCTTGGAATCATCCAGCAGCAAATAGCGCTCGTTCTTCCGCAAATCCAACTCCTGAGCACCCTGGGCTGCATAATCATATTTGGCTACCACGTAGCAAACGTCTTCCTGAGATTTGCCTGTTATAAAGAAATGCAGTTTAGTCAAAGTGCTCCGTTTGAATATATTTATGTATGGGCAAGTCCACAAAATGGTTGAACATAATTAAAAACTAATAAACTTTTTGTTGCTTTATTTGAACTTATTTATAATCCAATCCTTATGGAATAATCAGTAAAGAACAAAGATCTGCCAAATTAAATACATTTTTCCCTTACAAGTTTCTGCCCATTTCCGCAAAACTAGATCTTATAAGCTTCCGATTTGTGCCTTAACACTCATTACATATGATCGATATTTATGGATGTTGTGCAAATCGAGTAGATTATGGTTATATATATATTGAACTAATAGAGCCCTTCCTTAGTGATAGCTTTACCCTCCAAGAAGTTAGTTCTTTATTTTTGCTTTATATAGAGAGAGCGAACCAGGTAATTGCCCATATTTAGTGTATATTGTGGGCAGAACTCACCGTGCTTCATGTTGCCCGCCATTGATTGTTGTCCAGCGTTGCCAGTTCCGGCGCTGCAACTGGAGTTACCGCTGCTGCTGCCGCCGTTGCTGTAGTCGATCGGCGCCGGGCAGCCGCTGCTCGCTGGCTGGCCAAAGGTCACACTTTTGTGCTGGGCACTGCAGCTGGAGGCGGTCGACAGTGTGCGATGATGTTGCAGCGATTGCTGCTGTTGCAGTTGCAGTTGCTGTTGTTGCTGTTGCTGCTGCTGCTGCTGCTGTTGTTGTTGGTGTTGGTGATGGGAGAGCGAAGAGTGTCGCTGATGATGAGCGGGCGAGCCAGGTGCCAATTGACGACAGCTCTGATAGTTCTGGTGCTGCGGCAGCTGTGGCGGATACTGCGGCGAGCTATTTGCGTTGCCAGAGGAGGAGTTGGGGATGTTGCGCGCGAATCGCTGTGGGTATTCCAACATTCCAGTGTGGGCTCCTCAATGGCTTGAGAAGCGCGACGGGGCACACAAATATCTATTGATGTGCTCTCCTCCCCTCAAATGCTGCGTCGAAGATACAAATTTGGCAAAAAATGGATAACAACAACAACAAATAAGAGTTTGGCAGCAGCAGAAGTTGCAGCAAGAGCAACAACAATTCGCAGTTGTTGTTGTTGTTGTTGTTGATGAAGATGATTATGTTGCTGTTGTTATGATAATGATGTTGATGAAGATGTTGTGGTTGTTGTTGTTGTTGTTGCTGTTATTATGGTGAATAGTTGTTGTTGTTCGTGTTACGCTGTGTATTACTGTTGTTGTTGTTGTTGTTGCTGCATGTTGCCCGCTTCCTCAGCCAACGCATATTTCTGCTGCTGTTGTTGTTGTTGTTGTTGTTGTGATAGTTGTTGTTGTTTGGCAGCAAATTAAACGTTACGAATGCGGCGAATGCAAAACAAAGATGTGAAAGAGAAAACGTAAAAAGTAAGAAGAAGAAACAATGTAAACAAGATGAAATTAAAGCTGTGTGTGTTTAGCTTAAAACGTGTGTGTGTGTGTGTGTGTGTGTGTGTGTGTGTTTAGCTTAATATATGTTTGTATGTGTGTGTGACTGGCTATGCCTGTATGTGTGTGTTTGTGTGTGTCTGGCCGTCTCTCTCTGTGTGTGTGTGTGTGTCTATGTGTGTGTTAGTCAAAAAAGCATTTGCGTGAAAGCATTTATAACTAGTGCTTAAATACCTAAAAATATAGATATACACACATATATATCTATACATATATATTTGGCAAAAAGAAAAAAAAAAGCAAAAACAAATTTAAGCACAAATAAGTGAAATTTACATAGTATGTAAAAGGAATTAAAAACGGGCCATCGAGCTAGGATATGAGAGAGATCTCTTGAAAGTGTGTATGTGTGTGTGTGTGTTAGGGATGATAATGCTAATGATGATGATGATGTTGGTGGCAATGATCATTAAGATGATGGACATATTTATTTGGAGGCAGACAACGGCTGGCCACAAATGTGGCCAAGCGAGAAATGGACGCCAAGTGAAAGTTGCCCCCACTCAAATGGGGCAGCAACACTCTGATTTGAAACTTGTAATTGAATTCAATTCAATAAAATAAAAGAAAACAACATTTAACTGCGGAAGCCGAAGTCGAAATACCCTTACAGCTGAAGCTCGTAATTGCAGACTAGATAAAAGATAAAGCAATCGGATGTTGATCAAATTTGGTTTATGTTTGGGCAACAACGTGGCGCTCGTAAATGCTAAGTTTGGTTAAGATAAGTTGGAAAACGTAAAAGTTGTTTATACAAGAATTTGCGACCGATTGTTTCTATGGCAACTATATGTTATAGTAAACCAAACCCGGCCTGTTTCGTTTTGTGTATTATCTTTAGACAAAGGCAGCAAGTTTTATCTAGATAACTTCACTGAGAGCTGAGTTCACATGGATCAAAATGGACACATAAGATCGACTGAGTTTAACCGATTGTTCCTATGGTAGCTATATGATATAGTAAGCCGACCCGTCCCATTTCGATTTGTGTACTATCTATAGCCAAAGAAAGCAGCTGTACCAAGTTTTAGCCTGATAGCTTCACTGAGAGCTGAGTTCACATGGGTCAAAAGAGACTCAAGATCAATTGAGAACAACCGATTCTTCCCATCAGCTCTATGATATAGTAAACCGACCCGACCCGCTACTCTTTGTATAATTTCTGTAGCCAAAAGAAGTAGCTGTACCACGTTTAAGCCAGATGACTTCACTGAGAGCTTAGTTCACCTGGGTCAACACACACCTATATCATCTAAGCTCATCCGATTCTTCCTATCAGCTATATGATATAGTAATCCGACCCGGCCCATTTCAATTTATGTACAAACTATAGCCAAAAGAAGTAGCTGTACCACGTTTAAGCCAGATAACTTCACTGAGAGCTTAGTTCACCTGGGTCAACACACACCTATATCATCTAATCCCAACGTGCAGATCATGTATAATACATGCCAGATGGGTTGGGAGCTGCCTGCTTGACTGCAGCTCACAAATTTCGTGACAAAATGCAAACAACCCCTTGAGGCTAGCGCATAAAAACGAGTAACCACTTGATTTTAATTGATGAATTTTCAATTGATTTGGCAACGCGGCACGCGGGGAGTCGCCTCCCCGTCACAGTATGTGCAACAGCATCCATACAGCAGCAATAACCGGAGAAGCAGAAGAAAAGAAAAAAAACCCGCTATGAAACGCGGCCGAGATTGCGTCTGGCGCTGAGACTGGCCCAAACGCTCGATGAGTCACGAACAGGTATTGGAAATGGAATTGGAATTGAAATTGGATTGGATTGGGTTGACTTGTACTTAACACAAAGGCAAACCAACTAACAATATTTGCTGGATAAGTAGCACAGCGAGAGGGGGAGAAGAAAAAAAAAAGAGAATAATGAACGGGTCGCTGAAGTTTGAATACCCTTTAAAATGAAACATTTCCATACATTGCTTTTACTATGTTAAAGTAAAGAAATCTTTGGACAAGTAGCACATCGAGAGGGGCAGAAAAAAAGGGGTCGCTGAAGTTTGAATACCCTATAAAATGAAATATATTTCTATAGTCTATCTAAAAGCAAATTGTTTTATTTTATGAATTTCCTGAGAAATGGGGCATATTTGTTATGCTAGCGCTATGTTGAAGAAGGGAAATCTCAAAAAAGATTTATGACTTTTAGCCCATTGCTAATGAACGGGTCGCTGACGTTTGAATACCCTTTAAAACTATATATATTTCTATACTTTGCATTCAAGAAGTTTGTTTTATTTTATAAAATTTCCCGTGAGATCATATGTTATATGATATGCTAGTGTTGTGCTGGAGTAATGAAATCTTTGAAAGCAAACAAGTTTTAAGACATTTTAGGTTTGTTTTCAAACTAATGCACCCTTAGCTGTCACATATATGTATATATGATAAGATATGATATATGATAAAGTACTCTAATTCCCTTGAGTCATAACATGCGTTCTACTTGCAGCCAGCTGATTGATTATTCACTTTCATGTGTTACATATTCGATAACAAAATGTGCATGCCCTGCCGCGCGACGTACATATGTAGAGTAAAAATAATTCTATGAGACAGACGTGAGGCATTTGCCGTTTACGCAATGCCCAGCAGGTAAAAGGCATAGAGAGATAATCGACAGTTTTCATTATGAAGCCAACTTGGCGAGCTTGTTGGCCACAAAGCGTAACCAAAGTCAATGCCAACAGCCGTAGGCCAAACAACATTTGCTAAGATCAATAATTATGCGACCCAATAAGGTATTGGACATTTTTGTAGACTTGCGACTCGACGAGTTGAAGGCCAAGTTCGCAAGTTCTGCGAGCTTAATTAGCGTGTTTCGACCAACACCTTCGCCGAAAGCAAAAGATTTGCTGTCATCAGCGATAAGTTTTGGTTTGCTTTTTTTTTCTGCGAAATAGAAAGAAAATGTGTACGGTGTGTGAAGGCGAAAGCATTTTTTTGTTTGGTTTTTATTGACACAATGTGATTCTATCTTCCGTATCGCTGTCAGCATTTCCGTCTATTTTGGGGCTTTTTGTTTCGGTTTTCGCTCGATGGCTGGCCTCGAGAGAAAGCTGAGCGCAACGAAAGAACCACTTCATAGATTATATTCATATTTGCGCAAGACTCGTTTTCTCATGTACATTGTACAGTTGTTGATAGCTGCCATGAGGATAAATATATCAGGGACAGTAGACAAGACATATGCAAAAATAACATAAATGCAGACATTTTGTGTTTATGCTTGAGACCAAGAAATTGGAAATGATAACCCCGAGGTTACAGGGGCAAACAAACAAGGCAGCATAACTGGCTTTCTAATCGCACTGTAAATATTTACCAGGCTGATAAAGTGCCTGGCAAATTCTGTGTTGTCTAATCGCATTGTAGGGCAAATAATGCGCCTGACTATTGCTGTGTGGTCAATTCACATGAGAAGAAAATATTTACAATGCAGACTAAGTTCCTTGCAAATTTGACCAGTTAGCATTTTGCTTTACAAAACAACTTTAATTAGCTGCAGCTTTTGTTAAATGCGTGTACAAACCAATTTGCATTCAAAAATATATTTACAATGCAGATGAAGTTCCTTGCAAAATTTAGCAGTAAGATGCAGTAAAAATCTATTATATAAACAAAGCTGCAGCTTATATAAAGTGGATGTACAAAAAATATCTACAATGCAGATTAGGTGCCTTGCAAATGTTAACAGTTACATTTAGTTTAGTAAACAACAGATGAATTGACTTGCAAATGTTAGCAGCTAGCTGCAGTTAACATTTTACTATACTAAATAACTTTTAAATAAATAAATAGGCTGCAGCTTTTGTAAAATTGATGTACAATTTCGACTTTACACAGGAAAACGTGACTTCGTGTAGCGCTTCACCAACTGGCGCTGCGCAACTCTGGCACAAGGCCACCAACAGAGCTAAAACATTGAAATGCTTGGATGGCTACTGCTTATGGCCATTGAACTGGGCTGAGTGTAGCTGCTATTTCGATCTATTTTGTCGCATTTGCTGTATGTTTTGTTAGGTTCAAGACATTGCCAAGGTAGCGCCTTTGTCTTGTCTTGTCTTGCCTTTGCCTTGTGCATGATTCGGAGACAGTTCGTCAAAGAGAAAATTGAAAGAGTTGCACGTGCTCGACGGGTTTATGAGGCGGAAAGTTGTTTCACGGATAGGAAATGCTCGTTCCGTTCAACGGATGGGCAACGCAACAACCATATCAAGAAATACACTAAAAAGTGGCCCTACAAATTATTGAAACTAATTGAAGACAAAGTAAACAATTCTCTATTATTTCAGATCTTCATAGAGTTGGGGGGGAATATGCTCTTAAATCACAGAAAATGGGGCAACGAAATGCACTAAAAACAACAAGAAAATTGAGTGAGTCGAGGGTGCGGCGTTATCGTAGCCAAAGGGCAGCCACAGGCAGCTTGCGTGGAAAACTATAAACATATATTTCTATATATGAATGTGCATCTATTATGTGGACATGAGCATCGGAATCAGTGCTGGCATTCTAGCTGCTAAAAGTTAGCTAGATTCTAGCCGTTAAGATGGGAAATAAGCTAAAAAATAACGTAGCCAAAAATGTAAATGGCCAAAATTATAATTTTTCTATTTTCAGCTAACATTTTTGACATTTTAGCTATTTTATGCGGACTTTTATTATTTAATTAGTCATTAGAAAAGTTTATTAGTTGAAAAATGTTTAAGTTTAGTTAGAATTCCCATTTAGTGAAAGCATCAGAGTGAAAGACTTTCGCAGCTTCGTTTTTGTGCCTTAGCTTAAAATTACGGCGCTTTGTTGATTGCTTCGAAGTGTTGTCTTTTTTTTAATTTTTTGTAATTTTTGTATACTCTTTTCTGCCACAAACGTTTTTTTTATTCCCCTCCGCTTTTTTCACAAGAGAAATAAAAAATAAAAAGCTAACTCAAAAGCGCGAAAAAATGACATTCATAAAATTAGCCGGCTTAAGGAGATTACCGCCGAAACAAGCAAAAATTGTTTAGCTTTTTTTCTCTCTGGCAACTTTAATGTGTCAATATAGCTAAATCCAAAGTCTGGCAGCACTGATAGAAAAGAATAACGGAACTCAATTCAGTGCATTCGAGTTGATTTAGTTATTTTGCGCAGCTGTTGTTGTTGTTGTTGTTGCTGCTACAGTTTGAATTTAGAATGGATGCTGAAGAGAAACCTGTGACATGTGTATTTTGGGTCGTCGTGGGTTGAACTGCGCCCCGAAGTGAACTGCGCATCCGAAGTTCGGGCGGTGGTTGTTTGCACGCACAGGGGGTTGAGCGGGTGGCGAGAACAGATTGCTGACACACATATATGGCCGCGGGCGGTGTGCATGGCGACGACCATGGTTACCAAAAACTGCGAGCCAAGGCGGAAGGAAAACACGAGCAGGCGTTGCATAAAAAGGATTGCGCTCGCAGAGATAAATGTTAGGTCGAATGGGGGTTGCTTTTGCGCACGCACTCGTAGGCGAGAGAGAGAGAGAGTAACTGTGAAAGTGCAGAGAGAGCGCAGCAGATACGCAATTTTTGCTTCCTTCTCAGGCACCTTCATATGTGTGTTATCCTGGGAAAAGTACCGTTTTTGTTGGTGGTGTGGAGCAATCGAAACGGCGCTGTTAATCGATAAATATGTAAATGGGGAGAATAGTATAACCAAACATAACAAATACGAGCGATTTTAAAGAGAGAGCCAGAAAGAGCGAGAGATGGAGAGTGAATGAGCACGGAGCACGGAGCACACAAGTAAGCATGAGCGAGACACAAAACAGGAGCTAAACAGGAGCAGCCGTATATTTTGTGTGTACCTACCGGAGACGACGAAAGTTTTTGGCGACGACGACGACGACGGCAACTCCTAGCAGCAGCCAACGGCCCCAGCCCTTTGTGCAGCAGCAGAAGCGACCATATAAAAATGCACTTTCTTCACTCAACTGCGAATGATATTCAAATGTTTTGCAGGCGCTTGCCAAACTCTATTTTCTCACTTAACATACGTTCACTATACTAATAATAATAATAATGCATTAAATGTACATTATGTGTACATCTGTTCGTCTGTATGTGTATATATATAATACGCTGGCTCGTTGAAAATCACTTTTATGCTTGTATTTGACACTTTTCGTTTGTTGTTAATGACGCAACCGCACTACGCTACATTCAATGTATGCAATTCAGTTATTTCTAAGAATTATTTCGCGTTTGATTAATAATTTTAGGCAATTTTACCGGAGCAACTTCTTCGTCGCTCTCTACAATTTCGATATTATGTGTCGCCCACATCGATATTTTAACTTGTGCGCATCGAGTACTTTTTGTGAACAGCTGTGCCATCGATAGGCAAGCTCGTGCTTGCGATTTCTTATCGCACCATCGCGATATTTATCGCATTAAATAACAACAATAATATATAGAAAACAAAACGAAACCAAAATTTGTTTCTTTTAAAAAACAATGGGAGAGAGAAAATCCGCAAGCGTGTGGCTTGTTGGTTACGCTTCTGATATGCTGGAAGCAGGTCAAGAGGAGCCGGGTGATGAAGCGGCCGCCGCTCTCCGTCGCAAACAGCGCTTACCAAGGGTGAATGCCTGAGCCGAAGCGGATACATAGCTCGGCCGGGCGGAGAACCACCCGCATCGCAGGCTGGCATAGCACCAATGGAACCTCCCAAGCCGAAAGCAGCTCCATCGTCGACTACACTGCCCAAAAGTGAGATAACAGACGGCATTAGGCAAAGGCCTGATGACAAAGCAAATGCCTTTTTATCAGTCATAAGGTTATATAAGTGAATAGAATACAAATCATATTAAAAAAGAGCCCCTAAGTAATATAAGAATAAAGTTTTATAGATTTTAAATGACTACAGTTTTCAAATTACATTTTCTAGTGTTTTAATGCAGAATTTATCAGAAAGATAAACTACATTTAACATAATATTTAAATTTAAAAGTAATGCAACTGCCAAAATACCACACCTGTTCAGTTAGCCGTATTTAAAAAATACCAAAATTAATCGATACCTCGATAGCTCGATACATAGCTTGTGATTGCACATAAACATAACCATAACCATGGCATCGAGGTGTTCAACTTATTTATTTAAAAAACCGCTAATTTAATTAAGATGTTAATTTTAAAAATGTTGCATGGCGTGAAAACGGCGACTGTCCGCCTGGGCCGCCAGTACACGTCGAAGGCTAAGCGCAGCGTACTGTTGCAGGACCAGAAAAAAGTCAAAAGTATAAAGGCATAAGCACGTTGGGTTCCTCTTTTAAGCAAAATCTTTTTCAGACTATGAACCAAAGACAAGCGATGCCCATACAAATCGCGTGTATGTGTGGGGCTTCCAGGAGACAGGAGCTCTCGGGCTGCAAACAAATGTGAAGAAGGCCAAGGAACCTTACACGGAAATGGTGCATCATCCGACCCGGCTGCAGTTCTCGAATAACAATGAAATTACGGATGTGACCGCCGGCTATGGATTTACGGTGTATGCGGTGAAGCGGTCCGATGGTCAAACATTATTCGGCAGCGGACTCAACACGGACTCGCAGCTGGGCTTTCAAGTCAAGGGCAATAAAAAGGATCCCGCCAACCTGGATGTGATAATTTATCCAACAGCAATTCAGCTGCCGCGTGAGCAGGGCGAAACGGATGAGGATATGCAAGTGCGCTGCATGTCTGCCGGACGGGCACACCTCGTTGTGGTCACGCAGAACGGCACCGTTTTCACCATGGGACACAATGCGTACGGCCAGTGTGGGCGCTCCATCATTGAGGACGAGGTGTACACAGGCAGTTCGCTCATACATCGCATAGCCCAGACGGATATATGCGGTGCAGAGGATGAAATTGTGGCCGTCGAATGTGGCCAGGATCACACGATGCTGCTGACAAAGCTGGGACGCGTTTATAGCTGCGGCTGGGGTGCCGATGGCCAGACAGGGCAGGGCAACTACTATAGCGCTGGCCAGCTGACGCTTGTTGGCGGCGACATTGAAAAGGAGCGCATTGTGCGCATTGCCTGCGCCTCGGACTGTGTGCTGGCGCTGAATGAGCATGGCGACGTCTTTGGCTGGGGCAATTCGGAGTACGGCCAGCTGGATGATTCAACCGATGCAGCGCCCCAGATCTGTACGCCGCGAGCACTGCAGCTAACCAAGGGCATAGGCAAGGTTAAGGATGTGGCTGCAGGCGGCTCGTTTTGCATGGCTCTGAACGATCAGGGCCTGGTCTACACCTGGGGCTATGGCATCCTGGGCTTTGGTCCGTTTGTGGAGCAAACGTCCAAGCCGCAACACCTGCTGCCACCGCTGTTCGGACGCAATGATTTCAGCAATGCAACCACTGTGGTCTCGATTGGCTGCGGCGTCTTTCACATGGGCGCCATCAATTCGGATGGGGATCTCTTTATGTGGGGCAAGAATCGCTTTGGCCATCTGGGCGTGGGTCACAAAAAGGATCAATTCTTTCCCTTCAAGGCGGCCATCAATGGCAAGGTGCTGAAGGTGGCCTACGGCGTGGATCATACGATAGCCTTGTGCCGGCCCCATATATAAATAAACCACAATTATTTAAAGATCACAAATTCGCGTTTTTAATACATTTAAATCGATTGAAGAACATTTAGATTAGGTTTCTTTTTACTATTTTCTTGATAATGTTGTTGTCATTTGTTTCTTCTTGCAAATGTAAATAGCTTTTTTTCGCACGCGTACGCATTGATTTATAGTTATAGAGTTTAAAGAGTATATAATATAAAATATGTACTTGGAATCGAATGCATTGTGTATTTATATGTATCAAGTTGGGAATGGGCTTTATTTGGGTTTACTCTTGTTTGTTTTATGGTTTCCCCATTTATATTTAAATATACAATAGAAAGTTGCAGCAATCCTAAATCTCTACTCGTTTATCAAACCCAATTCGCACACGTATTTTTTAGTATTTGTCACAATTTCGTCAATCGCATTAAATTGCTTTCTAGGTACATTTCTTAACAGGGTTTCTTCTTTATATTTATATTTATATATATATATATATATATTTATATGTATATGATTCGCTATTCTTAACTGAGCTCGACGAGCGACAGTGCAGTCGCCGAGCCGCTTGGCCAATACAATACGATCGGTTTCCAGTTGATAAGCATGGTTACATCGAACATGGAGCCGGGCGTGTGTCTTAGTTTCTAGCCCGACACGAGCACGCACATCGCAACACGACGTGCTCGTGTTTAAGAAACAAAATTGCGCACGACAACAATTTACATACATAGAACAAATTTCTTAAGGTATAAATTTGACTTATATTGCTATTTAAAATTATGTAAAATCATAAGATACGACAAGAAGAAAACATGTTGAAATTTTAGAAAAATTCTAATTATAATTAAGAAATACTTTTAGGCCCAAACACGAGGCTATATTTCTTTTACATTGTTTTTATAATTTGTGAATAATTAAAATATATATATTAAATTTAGTAAATTGAATTAACTGAAAGGCAAACAAGTAGAACATTTCTCTTAAATAACAATATGATATAAAAACAGGCACAAATAAAAATTAAGTAGGAATAAATATTCTATAAAAAATGTAGTTCAATTCAAGGAATATACAAAAAACAAGTCGTGGCCCATACATTATTAATGATCGTGCCTGTTGCTCGCGTGTTTTTAAATAGTTATTCGTGTCGTGCCTAGAATGTTAGACACGCGCCCATCTCTAAGTAGAACTAAAGACTACAAGTTGAGGCTTTCGCCCCATAGATCATCGTTTTACACACAAACTTACGGAAATCAATACTAATTTGTCTTTGTTTGGATTTTTGTTGTTGTGTTTTTTTTTTATCATTTTGTTTTGTTTTTGCTCTTCATATGTTGATAATTTAAAACATTTGCGGCGCACGAACAACTATAGCTCAAGCCACCTGCTGCTGGCGGGCCTCGTTCGCCTCGTAGGCCTCCACCTCAGCTATGTTGGACAGGTCGTATTCAATCACGCCCTTACCCATGAACTCTGCATACTTGCCGGCATCTGGCAGAGGTTCGGCTGAGCGCTTGGCAACTGCAAGGGAAAAACAATCGTTAAAAAGTGAGCATAGTTGATTTAGTCGGACGTGTCCGACTGTGAAGATGCCCTGTACCCAAGCGTAAAATTTGTATAGAGCAAAAGTAACTAAAGATGTAAGATCGGATTAAATGGAGAGTTGGACTTTGACATTAATTTTCCTTAAGAAAACTAGAACTATTATCTTCGCAATATCTTTTCTACTAGATAATTTGCATGGGTACAGGCTAGAATAACTTTCACTTACCCCCAGACACATATTTCTCCATCATGTAGACCTTCATGTCGTAGCACTCGTTGGCTATGCGCTCCGAGATGAGCGACAGATCGGTGATGCGGGGTGTTATGATGCGCATATTGCGACGCACACGTTCTGTGTCGATGTTATAGTAGCCAGAGCCCATTTTCTGCATCAGATCCACAAAGCTGCTGGGCGGCAGGGTGGTGTCGCGGTCCAGGGGCATGATGAAGCAACGGCCGGTGATGGTATCGATGATGGCCGATTGGTTCTCCTTAAAGTCGTGCATGAAACGGCCATGACGACCATCCTTGAAGTCGGGCACATCGATCTTGGCATAGCCATCGTCATCGCTGCTATCCAGCTCGATCTCCTCGCGGAAGAAGTTATCGTTAACCTCGCCGAACTGGCTGCCTGCACTGTTGCCGGACAGTTGGGGCAACAGGGAGCGCCAGTTAAGGGCGAAGGCGTCATCGTTGCGCGCATAGAAACGTGGCATCTCCATTGAGTCCTCCGCATAGGGTATATCGCAGAGCGCATGGTAGCGCATGCTCGCATGATTCGGGGCATATAACCGGTAAAGTGTCCAGCCGCCCAGTACGCCCATCAGCATTACGATAAAAGCGATCAGGAACAAGAGAAACGATTTCAGACAGTTATATTGCGGCCGGTTGAAGACCATCGATTCTGTATCCGCATCGCTGTACGCTATTTTGGGCTGCGATTAGAAAATCAACAATAAATACTTTATTTATGTACAATAAATGTTAGACAGCGGTGGCCATATAATTAGGAACACTTTTTTTATATCTCTTTGTAAGTTATCTAAATTGCGTCTGTTGAAAATACTTTCATGAATTTAACTATTCACAAAGTGTTACTAATTGTATGGCCATGACTGTAAATGTATTTCAAATGACTTATAACGGTCCGTTTCTGCACGTTCTCAAGTAAAGTTCGTTTCTTATCACATTTTTTTTATCGTTTTCGCTTATATTAGCTCCAACGGATGGAAATGGAACATTGCATACAATCAACTTCAATTAAACAGAAATTACAACAACTTACATGCAGAATATTACTGATGCATAAATATGTAATGCAACTGGATATGTGTAAACATGGCTGTGGTCTAGCGTAATCAGTTTAGCTATTTTCAAGCCGGGACACTTTTAAATAGCTTTTCTAGCGTAAGACCTCACTTATTTCGTATTATGAAATATGCGTAAGATATAAGACCTTGTGTTTTTTTATCAGGTTCCTTTTCTCATTTCATTATTATTTAACGGTTACTCTTTTTAGCTTTTTACTGCAACTATTTAGCTGTTTACGCATTCTCCTAATCTGGCAACACTGCTGAGCTCTCCGCCAAATGCGCTTTCTTGCGTGTGTGTGTGTATGTGTGTGGGTTTATCGCTGATGAGCAAAGGGCAAAAATTGACTTCCATGCATGAAAAGCGGCGACAATGGAGGAAGAAAAAAAAACAAAACGCAAATGCAAATGACAAAAGCTTTGCTGCAGAATGCATATTTGCATGTACATACCAATACACATGCATATAAAACCTGCAATGGAATCATTTACAAAGAACCAGAGCAAAAAACAATATGCATACACACACACATGTACATACAGAAGACTAGGCAAACGGGCACAAGAAAATGGGGGAGGGTGGAGACAGCCAGAACTGAAGTCGTGCTGCTGGCTGGCAATGCCAACGCTGCGCGACCTCAAAAGGAGCGAAGTAAGGAGTGCAAGGACACACATGGGAATTCCAGCATGGAAAAATCGATAGATATGCATGCTGCTGAGAGCATACACACACACACACACACACAAACACGTATACATACTTATGCATGTACATAGAAAATCTCGCAGTAACAGACGCCCGCCCACACAAACACACGCGAAGGCAAACGAAAACGAAACTTGTAGCGCTATTGGCACGAAGGACACACAGGATATGTGGGGCCTGACAAGGACACGAACGATTGCGCAAAATATATATGTATATGTATGCATGTGCTGTCCAACTGCACATAACTTACACTGATTAGTGAACCATGATGCATGATGGCCTCGTCATTTAGATGCAACGGCAATGGCACCTTCTCCAGATCCTTCTTTTCACCTGTTAATTTAGCCAAAATCGTCATATTTGCTTTTATAACTTTACGTTCGGTGTGTTCTAGATTATTGAGCAATTTCGTTTGAAATTTTGTTAAACAGTTGACCGAAAAAAACCCAGACGTTTGCTGCCAACTACACCTGTAATGTGTTTACTCTTCAATTATTTTTTTCACTTTGTTTTTGTATTGCGCAGCAAACTGCGTAGCCAAGCAGCCGATATATCGTTCTTACTTGCTTGCAGTTACTTGCATTAGTATTATCGATATGTTTGTTATCGAGTAACAAAGACAGCCATTTTATTTGCAGCTAAAGATGTGTTATCTATACATCTAAGCAAATATAGCATAAATATGCTTTTAGATAATTCAAAAAGTGTCTTGACTACGTAATTATTGCATTTTTAGATTGTGCACTACAAGTTGTTGCGCTCCAGTGGGAACAAGTGATTCTCCAAATATCGGTATCCTGCCGTTAATAATCGCTAGACGGTAGCACAGTCTGCCGACTATTGCTTATCGCTGTACAGTATGCCAGTTGGTATGATTGATGATTTGACGTGATGCAATTGCAACTGATTTCTTCTTTTATTATTATTTTATTCCAGCTGAACTTGTAAGGCATTTATTTATTCAAGTACCTAGACGTTTTTTAAAAAAATGCAAGAATGAACACAATCGAAAACAGTCCGTTATGTTAATGTGCACCAGTGAGAACAGCTTGCATGTTATCGCTGGAATGTATAACAGTTGTGATGCTTGATGGTCTGACGGAAGATTTAATCTGTACTACTAACTGAATTCTTAGATGTACAATGGGTGTTCAGGGCTTAACACTATTTATGACTATGTTGATTCGATAGGAAGGCCAGATGACCCTTGGGGCACTTATTGGCATAGTGACCTTTGTGCCCACACTTGTAGCAGGTGATCTCCTCCAGCGGCGTCGGCACTTTTATAAACGCCGGCGGCGGATGATTGGGCACGCCATCTTCGTTGTTCTCCCCGCTGTGGTCCATGGCGTTAATGTTATTGCGATGCTCCAGGCTGCCCACATACTGTTTGCACGAGTTCGCCTTGTGTCCGAGCTCGCCGCAATAGTGACAGGTGGGCAGTTTCTTGTGCAGTTGATCCTTGCTGAGATCGGCGAGGGGCGGCAGCTCGAACCGCGGATGCATGTGCTTGCAGTTGGGCCCATCCGGACAGAAGCCGGCCAGGTAGTTCATGCAGAGCACACGCCGCAGATGCTGGTGCCGGCAGTGCGGCCCGTGGCGGCAGAAGCCGCGCTTATACCAGGGACAATCTTTCACCTTGCTCTGTGGATCGATGTGCAGGAACGGGCACTCCTTGTTGTGGCAGGCATTGAAACGTGAATAGAAATAGCATTCCGGCATCTTGGTCATGTCGTACTCGTGCAGAAACTCGCACTGGTCGCCCTTCTTGCAGAGGCCGCGCAGCCAGTGCTTGCAGACGATGGTCCGATCGCCTCGTATGTGCCGGAACGGGCAGGCGCTGCCCTTGTCGCACTCCTGGCCATTTTTTGTGATGAAATTGCATACGGCGGCAATGGACTTGTCCATGCCATAGAACGGCAGCGGTATGGCGCCCACCTGTTCAATCAGGTCGCGCTCCGCCTTGAACTGCAGACTGTTCACGTTGGCCAAAAGTATGTCCATGTCGATGCGGTACTTTGCTCATAAAAAAAAAACTATAAAAAAAAGAGCGCGTTGTTTTGGGATTTGTTGTTTTTTTTTTTTTGGCATAACACGCAAAAGTATCGATATTATCATTGCAATCAGCCACTGTTTATCGATACTTGGATAAAAAGGCATGTATGCAGCGCTTGCAACCTAGATGAATATGCTAGGTAGTTTTATTAATTAAAGAAAAAATAAAGCAAGTAAAAGGGATCAACTTAATTTTCGTATGCATATAAATTGTATAGATGCAAAAATGAATTTTAGTAATCACCATATATTTTATCAGGCCAGTACTACTCCTTGCCATTCTTTTGGGTTCAAGTTAACGGACCAATTTAATATAATTTAATTTAATCATTTGCAAATTGTATGCAACCAAATAAACATGAATGTTAAGTTTAGCTAGCAACTTATTGTTTGGTACTTTTTAATGGATGATGGGAAATTTTTGGTTAACTGCATACCAGACATTGGCATTTGTTTACGCGCTGGCGTTGCAATCAAAAAATGTAGCTTCGGTTGAAAGGTTAATAACTGTTCACAGCAACAACAATTGGGCGCGTGCGGCTAATGTGGAGGCGCGCCACGCCCACCAAGAAAAAAAAACCAATTACTTGCAAAATCTAAAGCGCCGCCATGCTGCCCACCTACGAGCGCTTGAACGACCCGAAAAAGGCATACTTTCGCCTAACATTTGCCCGGTTATCGATAATTGCCCTCAGCCTGCCATTGGGCGCATTTAGTTTCTGCGTAATCTGGTCGCTGTTAAATGACTTTGTGCGCTCCACATTTACGCACTGCGACGTGGCCAACTATTTGCCGTCGGTATCGGCGGCAATTGGCAATTATGAGCCACAGAAGACGGTCTGGCGCTTGGCCGTTATCCTGCATCTGCCGCTGCGCCTAACCGTGGCCTACATGTACTTGGAATACTATAGGGAGCATATTAAGCGCAATCGTCGCATGTTCGGCATTCTGGCCTGTACGCTGAACGTTATCGAGAATGTGGCGCTGTTCTGCCTGTCGCTGTGGACATCGGCGGACAACTATGAGATCCATCGGAATTCGTTTGTCGTTTTCATAGCCAGCAGCGAGTGCTATATGCTGATCTCGTATCTGTTGAATCGGAGCGCACGCAAATCCGTGCTGTTGCCGCACGAGGAGAAGTCGCTGCGCTACAAGCGCAATCTCTTTCTGGTCAATGTGCTGGCCTTCGGCCTGGCCGGCTACTGTTTCATGCGGCACAATGCCCGCTGCGAGGCCGGCGGTAAGCAAGCAATCAATACGATTTGTCATTCTCCAAATTAATGCCAACTTTATTTATCCTTACACAGTGTACACATTCTTTGCGCTCTTCGAGTATATTGTGGTGCTAACCAATATGGGCTTCCATATGACAGCCTATTGGGACTTTTATGCCTTCAGCATTGTCTGCGATGCCCGGAACGGTGTGCATATAACGCGTTCCTAGACTGCTCCACGTCCAGCGACCGTATCTCCGGCGTATTCTGTATATACATATGCGGTATTAGCTTAAGCTCAAAGTTTACTTAATTTTATTTAAGAAATCACACTGAATCACACTGTCAACGGCTTAGCTTTTATTTCAATAAGAGAAAAAGAGAAGAAAGTCAACTTGTAAATGCCTTAAAATATGGAGAAACTGCTGCCCATCTCAGACAAAGACCTGACGAGAAGCTCTGTGCGGCAATTCAGGATCTCGCTGTCTAATCTCTTGCTGGTTGGCTGCGCGCTGGCGCCCTTTACCACAATCTATACAGTACTGATGACATTGATATACGACTTTGAGAACTCCACGTATACGCATTGCGAGGTGCTAAACATTCTGCCGTCCATGTCGTCGGTGATCCGGCAGCAGCAACAATTGTGGATATTTATCGTATGGGTGCAGCTGCCGGCACGCTTGCTGGCGGCCTGGCTGCACTGGCGCTATCGGAGACGCGGCCTGCCCTGGCTGGCAAGTCTACTGAAATGCCTGTCGCTGTTGTTTCTGGTGCAGAACACTTTGAGCTCCATTTTGATGGCGCACTATGGTCATCTGTCGGGCACATTTCACAATGCGACAGCACTCTCCAGTTGGATATCGGGCCTCGGCCTGTTGGGTCTCTCCCATATGAGCCAGAGGTACTGTGCATCTGAGTCAATGGGGCCGCACGAGAGGCTTTCGAATCGCATCAAACGCAAGCTGCTAATCACGACCTGCACCGCCATGCTGGTCATGTGGCCATTTTATCTGCTGCACACGGGATTCTGTGTGACAATGGGTATGTTTGGCTGAAGCCTTTTCATTTTTCGACTATACGTATATATTATTGATCAATTGGAAGACTCGATCTGGCCATGTCCGACTGTCTGTTGAAATATCTTAAGTCTACGATAGGCAAAAAGTCTTGGAATCCCAACGTCCAATACATCAGTATCCCAGATACGTCGGTTCTGATAAGATTTCTAATTGGGTCTCACTGGCAATATCTCGTACATCCGTATCCCAGATATTTCGAATCCAATTAGAAACAGTATGCCCAATTGGGTTTAACTGGAACTATATTGTACAACCGTATCTCAGATACGCTGGATCTTATTAGAACCGCATTTCCAGTTGGACATTAATAGCGTTATCCTGTAAATTTATATTCCAGTTAATTTGAATCCAGTAAGAAAAAACATGTCCAATTGGACACATGTTGTATTAGACCGTACACGAGTATCCCAGATATTTAAGTTCTAATAAGAAAGATTGCTTCTAATTGGTTCTCACTGGCCTTATCTTTAAAATATCGTACGTCTTGCCTTAACTTCCTCCTCACTAAGTGCTATTATATAAATGAATATTAGCAAAATATGTATTTATTGTATTCTTTCTTCTACTTACAGCCTATTCGGTCTTTTCGTTTTGTGAATACACGTTGACTTTGGCTATAGCGTGCCATATATGGACATCATATCTGGATTTCCATCATGTCTATCTGTGCCTCAATGTACATTTTGGTTGCTATTTGGCAGACGCATAATTGTTATGGAACTGAAACTCTTTTTAATGCAATACTAAATCTATAAATACAGATTTGGGGCTGCTACGCTTCATAGATGCGCACCAGATCCTCAATGGTAATCGGATAGCTGGTCACGGGGCAAGTGCCCTTCTCCTTGAGATGCATTACAATGCATTTCCAGCAATAGACATAGCCGGATACAGCGCACGCTGTTGGCGTTTGCAGCGGCAGCAAACAAACGGGGCATTCTCCGCTCTTTGGCAATGTTTCCCTCAGCTCCTGGGGCAGTTCACGTTCCGGCAGGGGCTCAGGATTTTGTAGTGTGCCGCCCAGCTTGCGGCGCTGATCGTTCGAGTACCACCACTGTATGAACTGCAGGAAGAAGGCCAGCACTTCGAGCATCTTGAGGAACAAGTACGTCCACTTGTCCTCCTGGGGCGGTTCGCTGGGATAGCGCAGCGTCAGGCGCAGCGCACGAAACAGCGGCGAGTGGCTGGACGCATATTTGATTAGGTACAGGAATGTGTGCACCGCCTTGGAGGCGTTATAGACATGGAACAGATTAATCAGCTTCGACTCCCAGGCATAGGTGTCCTCATGCTGGGCACTGCGCGCTCGCAGCCTGCGCTCAACATAGGGCAGCAGAGTCAATAGCGTCGCGGAGCTGAACTGTTGCCGGCGGGTGAGCAGCTCTCCGGTGCTGCTGGCCGTGCGCTGCAGTCCGTAGAAGCTTTCGCCGAAGGAGGAGGCGCGTTTGCGCAAATACAAATACTGTAGGATCCATGTAACAAGCGGCGATAGCTCTTCGCGTACGCGTATGTTGCCCCAAAGCTTAAAGTCCAAACGTAGGCCAAAGTAATCGAAAACTTTGCTCAGCGCTGGATAGATAAGATTGTCCAGCGTCTCAGCTGCTGATATTTCAAAGATCGACGGCACATTCTGCAGATTCTGACGCACATTGGCTGCCTCCGCCATCTGGTGTCCAATTTCCTTATTTTATGACAAGAATTTGGTGGGCAGCCGCAACAATTGTCCGAGTACTTTTTGTCAATGTATCGTTGGCCTATGAAAGTATCGACTGCCTATCGACCGACCGCCACAAAGTATCGGCAGCATCAATCAGCTGTTTGCCAAATTTGTTTATAAAATATCGCTTGAAACGTCGCGCAGTTGCAAAGGTGAAATAAATAACGCAAATAACATACGAAAACAGTATGAAAACATCAGGCGGTGGCTCGGCGGAGGAGCCGGCCAAATCGTCGCTTGGCAAAATTAGCAAAAAGTCTACAAAGTCACGCTCAAAGAATACCAAATTGGAGCCTGGTAGCAAAAATTCTGTCTCAGCCACAAATGTTAACGTGCCCATGGGCAGCTTGCCAGCCACGCCCACGCATGTAAACATGGCCACAACGCCCACAACGCCAACGACCAGTTTAAGCAATTATAATCTCTTTGATGCTTCCTTTGCTGTGGCTGGACATGGACAAGGTGTGGGTGTGGGTGTGGCTGCGGAAATGGCGAACAATCCCGGCAAAGTGGTAGGAGGAAGTTAAGGAAACCTGGAGGTTGTCAACTTTAAAGCATTTTTGTCGCATTGCAGAGTCACCACAAAAGCTACGCCGGCTTTGATCCGCGCAGCATAAAAATCTTCTGGGAGCAACATGACCAGACGGACGTGGAGCTCTCGCAGGATGTGTGCGCGCGCCTGGCGGAAGATGCATCCTACAAAGTCTGGGAGCTGATTAATGTATGGCCACCGTTTTATTATTTTTAAAAAATGCTTGATTTTCATATATTTTCACAGAATGTAAAGATTTATTCGCGTCACTCGGGCGGCGTGGTCACCTACGATCTGGTCAATGAGGTGCTCAAGGATGCGGATGTGCCGCCCATGCTGGGTGCCATGGACAGCGATTGGGATTGCATTGACTACGATGGCAGCTATTTCTTTCACTCGGATAAGATATTTGAGCTACGCGATGAGTTTCAAAAGGACATTACGCTCTCGCTGCCAAATGATGCGGACTTTCATTGCATCTGCCCGGTGGAGGACAAGAATACCGAACAGTTGAAACAGTTTGTGCAGAGCCTGGTAACTGGTAAGTGCTTGGAACTGCTGCTGCTGCTGCTAACTGTTCATCCAAAATACTTCTCCCTTGTAGCGGCAATCTTTGGCGACTCCCAGGCACGCAGCGTGGCCGTTACGCAGGCGTTTCAAACGCCTTTAATGGGCGCCTGCTATCGCGTGATAGTCAGTAAAATGTTGCAGTTGCTCGCGTTCAAGCAGCACGATCAGGTGAGCCAACGCTGCTGGCGCCTGTTGCGCGCCTGCAATTACAACACACAGGCGAATCACATCAATTGCCGACCGGAGTATTTTCATCTGGCCGAGGTGCTCATCAGCCAGCTGATGGCGCCGTATGAGACAATCAAGGTGGCCGATGGCAGGCCGCAATCACAGCAAGCAGCACCGGTGCCAATGGAGCTGGATAAAGTGCTTAAGCTGGAACCTGGCCTGAGCGGCGATGCGCAGGCTGAACAGTATGCCAGTCAAGCCATGGATCTAGAAGCGCAGCAGCCGCAGCAACAGCAGGCGCAGGAGCAGCAGCAGGCGCAGCAGCCGCAACAGTCACAGCCAACGGTGCCAGAGATTACCATCACCAGCGACACATCACAGGGGCAGACCATTTACAAACTGCAGCTGGACGATGATAGCTGCGAGGCCGCCGAGCAACAGCAGCAGCAGCAGGAGCCGCAGCAGCTTTCCAGCTACTTTGCCAGCCCCGTGGGCAACAGCTACGTCGATGAGCTCTGTGAAACAATTGGCCAAATGGCGGCACAGAGTGGTTATCTGCATGCCGAGTGTTTATTTTTGATTAAGCGACGCTTGAACAGATTTTTTGAGGGACGCGACGTGTGCAATGAGCGGGGTAAACGATTGTCTTTATATATAGAACTTTTCATATACATTTAATAACATTATCCTTGCTCTTCTGCAGATTTCAAGTACATCAGTCGTGCCATACGCGGGCTCATCGCGCTGGGCGAATACGCCTTTCGGGAGTTTATACCCTACATATATAAGCTGAATGTTAACGATGTACCCGACAGTCTCTGGCGGGATTTGGCGCCAGCTGCTATATACCTTGGCGGGCGCGACGATATACATTTGTACGAGTGGCTGGAATACGGCTGCGGAGCGGGCAGCCTGCAGCCCTTCCTCGTACACTATGCGAGTGAGTAGACGCCAAAATATCTGGCTTACCGATAACTAATTGGAATGTGCTTGCAGATGCATATGAGAAAATGATCTCCAAACGTTATATACATGCCAGACAGCCCGCCTTCAGATTCGAGGCACAGCCAGGCGTGCGTCGCCTCGAATGGAGCACGCTGGCGGCAGCCATGTGCCATGGCGATGATCCCAGCAAGGCGCTTAAACCGAAACCCACGCTGTGCGAGGCCTTCCCCAAGCTGGTGCAGCCCAATTTGCGACTCAACTGCGCCGGCACCATACGCTTCAAGTTTGCCGGCTGTCGGCCCGTGCTGCTCAAGCCCAAGGGCGTTGCAGCAATGCACTTCATGGACTCGCCCTCAACCAATGGCGGCAGCGACATTATCCACTCCGATATACTCATTGCCAAGCGCAAGATCTTCAAGCCGCCAAGCAAGGTGCGGCGCCCGATGGCCAACAGTGGCTATCACTATTTGCGCATATGAAGCTGGTAATTGAAGTAAAATAAATGAAGAAAAACTTAACACATCAGGTATCAAGAAAACCTTATGGGCTGGAAAACGTGTTCTTCGTGACAAAAATTTATTTAACAATTGTATACTAGAATGCCTCCTCCTGCGGCATCGGCACGCCCGCCTCTTTCATGTCAGCCATAATGCGCTTGTTGATGATATTCTTAATGTTTGCATTGACATTGGGCAGCAGACCGCCCGTGCGTGCCGCATGCTCGATGCGCTGCACCACATCAATCTCGCGACGGGATGAAATGAAATTCGTGACCAGTGTCTTTTCCGAGCTGCCCACGCGTCCAATGCGGCCGCAGCGATGTATATAGTCGGAGATGTGCAGCGGGAAATCAAAATTGAGCACATGACGTGCGCGCGTTGTGTCCAGGCCGCGACTGCCCACATCTGTGGTGGACAGGACATCGCACTGACCGCGCTGGAACTCCTCGAAGCGGCCCAAACGTATCTTCATTAACATATCGCCATTTAGATTGAGACAATTGATGCCGCTGTTGTTTAGAAATATGGACACATAGTCGCTGGTCGCTGACTTGTTGCTGAAGACAATCAAGGGACGACGTTTGGCCAAATCCTGCTTGACCAGGATCAACAGGTTGGCCGAACGATCCGCCTTGGACATGCGCAGAAACTTTTGCGTCACATGCGCCATCAGATGATGCAAGTGCGGACTGACCACCTCACGTATAGTTTCTACATCGATGACGCGTTGCAGGATCTCTCGTGTATTGGTGGGCATTGTGGCCGAGGCGAGCAGCAGCTGGGTGCCCACAATGCGCGCATCCTGCACATGATTTCTGTGGAACTAAGGAGCAGAAATGTAGACAGCTGCTTTGGGTTGGGAAAATGCAAACTTACGGGAAATCTTCTCATGAAGTAGGTGAGCTTTTCCGTAAACGAATCGTCCAGCAGCGTGTCTGCCTCGTCTAGCACCACATGACGCACCTGCTCCATGTGATAGATCCCAGTTGTTACCAGCTTGCTGATGGCGCCCAAAGTCGCCACCAATATGTCTACCTCCTCGAATTGTGGATTCAGCATTAATTGTTTGGTATTTCCGCCGAGAAGTGCCTTCACCTTTAGCTCCGTGTTCGCGCACAGCTTTCGGGCCACCTGTGCGATTTGTGTGGCCAGCTCGCGTCCGGGCGTGAGTATCAGCACGCTGGGCGTATTGAAGTGTCGCTCGCCGGGCTCTGGGCATTGGCCCTTGAGCCTCTTATTTAGCACGGGCAACAGGTAGGCAAGCGTCTTGCCGCAGCCCGTTTCGGCGGCAATTAGTGTGTGAAAGCTGCCATCCACAATGGGCATGGCTTGGGCCTGAATGCCCGTCAGCTGCTTTATGCCCAGCTCCTGCTGCAGGTTCTCTAGCAGCTGCGGATGCAGCTCAATTTCAGATGTGGACAGAACTTCGCTCAAGTTCTTCATCTCCGCCTTCAGCTGCGCGCTTGTGATGCTGGCATTGAGCGTAAAGTGATCGCCCTTGGATTTATGATGCAGCCAACCCTTGGAGCACAGTGGCAGGGTGCCAAACTTGGCGTCGGCTCGCTCATGTTGCAGCAGATTGAATTGTGTGCGTCGGCAGCTAATAAGCGGTTTATTGTGGCTCTGTTCGATTTCTTTTGTCTTGATTTGTGCGGCAGCCTTGGCGTATTGCCGGCGCAAGAATGTCCGCGAAAGATTTTGCAACATTTCGTCGCCAAACACTTTTCTTGCGTTTACCACTGCACGCTGCAGTCAGCTGTTTTTGTTATGATGGGGCTCATGTAACGGAATCGAAGTGTTGGAAAAGGCCACAGCAGCAGTGCCGGCTGTCAGCGTATATCGATAACAAAAAGAACCGTTGTACGCGCCAATTAGCAAATGTCGCGAGTGTAAAGTTTAATTTTTGAGCTGTGCGTGACAAATAAATAGTATAATTAAGTGAAGTGCGTGTTCGTTTAATGTGTGTGTTTAAGTGTTTATATAATAACAATGTGTCAACAAAACGAATGTACAATTCTGCGATATGCGCGCAGCATGGAGAGCAGCCGGCACAAGCCAAGATCAGAACATATGGTGCAGGCGGTAAGTGAGAATTAAATACATACTTACATAGTATATAAATGCAAGCACATCGGCCAAATAGTAATATATGTATGTATGTATGTACATGCATACATATATATGCATCTATACATCGATGCAGCGAAAGAATGAATATGTACACATGAATATAAGCAGGCACAGGCACGCAATTGCGTGCACAGACCCAGTCGGACCTGCTTGTCTGCGAAAGCTACTGCTTATCCATTCTTTTTTCACATAAACCCAAGTTGTAAAAATGTGCACTTTTGCTTCTTACCAAGTAGAAAGCTTTGATTTCTGGGCGATTTTTATTCGCGAAAAACTGAAAGTTACGTTTTATATATTAACGAATTTAAAATATGAAATTTAAATGTTAAGCTAGGGGCTTACAAATTCTATGCTTGAACTTTATTTAGATTAGAAAACTCTTCACAGTACTTACTGTTGATGCCAAGTGATTTAGTACACAAAACTTAATTCAAAAATTCAGGAGAAAAGAAAATATTAAATAAAGCACACAGTGCAAGAAAAATAAAGGGATAATTTCTACAAAAATGGTCTGCAATTTGGAAGCTTTAATGAATTGAAATTTACTGGAGCCGAAATACTATGGAAAACTCTTGAAAATTTGTTAGCAGCAAGTTTTTTTTTAGCACAGCAGATGAGGGCTTTCGATACGGCGGCAAAAAATATATGTATTTTTACATGCAGATATATATTTTTTTTGGGAAACACAGATTAACTAAGGTACTGATATATTATGTGCCCTTGTGTGCAGATATATCATGCATATAACTGAATTTACTAACGTTAATAACAAAGTTAAAAGTTGATGTAAAATTTTTGTGAAATTGCAGCGACAAAACGGTCCATAAAAGTGCATAAAATCTGCCCGCATTTTGTCAGCAAGAGCAAAAGTTTCCAAAAGGAATTCACTTTTATGCGTGTGTGTGTGCTGGATTATTTTTCTTTTTGTTAATTTTGTCAACGTTGTGGGCGTATGATACGCCCACTTTTTAATATGTTTTAAGTAATTTGTGCACATTTTCGAATTTTTATCGCGGCCACAAAACTTTGTCCTTTTGAATTTGGCAATGCCATCAACTGCAAACTGATGATGGCCTCTGAGCCCCCGACCTTTTGACCACCAGCCCCCTTGCCCCCCGCTCTGCCATCGGTTGCTTGCCCTTTGTCCCACTGTCTGTCGCTTTGTGCTCAATGTCAGTGCTTGTTGGCGAGCGTGTAATGATGACTTTATGACTTTATTTACGTGCAATAAAAGCAACAATTCAGCTCGGGGAACATTTGAAGACACGCGCACATACATAAATACACTCGAAGAAAAAGGACATTCTAAACGGGGAAGATATCTTACGATTTTCATTCCCTTCTTGAATATTCCAAAATTACAAATAATTTTATTACAGATGATTTCGAAATTTGGCAGGGATTTTGTCAGCATTTTTAATTTCTTTGATTACATTTTCTTTTATGATTTCTCCGAGTGTACGTAAGTAGTACACATACAAGTTCCGGGAATACGTTTGGAGGAATGCGTTGTGGACGTTCCTCGGCCTCAATATAAAAGCGATTTTCAACTTAATTTATTCCATTTGCTTCCTTTTCATTTGGGCTGAATTTTAATTCTGCTCTTTTAGTTTTGGGCTTAAATATGTTAAATACCAGCTGCGCATGGACTCGCTACCTTTTTGATGTCATATATTCCCAACCAACCCTCCCCAGCGAGTGTGTGTGCGTGTGTATGTGTGTTTGGGACGCGTGCTGTGCTGTTGCCATGTGTCTTTCTCAAGTTACTGACAAAAAATTTGCAATTCCAATGATAAAAGTGTTGAACAAGTTCTGCAAAACACATGTGTAAGAATTTTTGCATGCACTAATACACTGAGACAAAAAGGGAAGACCAAATATATGATTGCTCCTCAAAACATAATGGAAAAGTACGGATTTTTAATCCCTTAGGTGACTTTTTTAATATATTGAAAAAGAAAAGAATTGAAGGAGAAAGATAAAAAAGTCAATTGAAAGAATGAGAGGCAGGGTGCAGTGGTGAGAAAAAGAGAGGGACAGTGGGAAATAGAGAACGAAAACGAAAGAACGAAAGAGAAAGAGAGAGAGAGAGAGAATAAAAGAGAGAGAATAAAAAAAAGAGATAGAGTGAGAGAGATAGAGAGAGAGATAGAGAGATAGAGAGAAAGATAGAGAGAGATAGAGAGAAAGATAGAGAGAGATAGAGAGAGAGAGAGAGAGAGATAAAAAGAGAGATAGAGATAGGGAGATAGAGAGACATAGAGAGTTATAGGGAGATAGAGCGAGATAGGCAGACAGAGATGGAAGGAGATAGAGAGGGAAAGATGGAGAGAGGACGAGAGTAAATTAAGCAAAATGAACAGAAATATATCTTATTAGATTGAAAACACAATATGTTAAACTTGAATTTATGAGAATCGCATAGTAGGGAACCATGTACGTTGTTTTGATAAGCGTATTACACACATTCAAGCAAACATACAAGATACAATATATTTCCTCCTGCCTGTTACGGCAGGATATAAAAACCATATAAATTAGATAAATATAAGAATAATTAAATAATTTCACTACATTACTACTTATTTTGCTCAGTGTACTAATACGCTTGACACCACATATTTTTCTAATGTTTTTATAATCAACCTAATGCAATAATAATAGCGAAACGCAGTGCAACAAGTTCGAATTATGTTAATGCCATAAACTGTCGTGTCCTCTGCCGCAAAAATTAGGCTCTAAAATATCACGCATACGCCACACACATTGGCGTCAAAATTGGCTGTGGTCACATTAGGACCGCAGCCCTTAGTTCTCCAGCCAATCTAATAAATAAATCACATCTGGCCGGGCGTGAACGGATAATGCGTC